GTACGAGGATGTGTGTGTTGATTTGGTCTTCTCTTCAAATTTAATGTAATTCACTGCTATCACAACATAGCTTCTCTGATTTTACTTAGAAATGTACAAACAGGTTAGAAATAATAAAAGATAAGGGGATTCTATGATAGCATAAAAAGTACTAAGATTTTTTTTTCAGATATTTATTAACAATACACTAATATTCTCTAAATGTTCTGATTGTAAACCATAGTAGTATCAAACCACATTCACAGAATCTGAATGCTTTCTATGAGTGTGCTGGCCAGCAGGGGGTGGACATCGTCACCAGGGAAAGGGCTTCAACCACCACACTGTCATGCAGTCACTGTTTTATCATAAAGGCAGTTTAGATCTCAGCGTGCCCCTAATAACTGACATCACTGGCCAGGCTGGGGACCAAGCAGGGGTCCCGGGTAATCTCCAGATGTGGAAACAAGGCCATGTGGGGCTTGTGTTTTTGCACAGATTAAGCAGTAACAAGGTCATAATGCAAACCCATATGTAAGCTCTACTTTTCTTAAAATACTGCAAGATTCACAGGCACGCACATACATTTACACATTTGGACTTAAACAAGCAGCAGTATGCATGCAGTGTTGCATGTCACCCCATCTGCCACTCTTTTTTTTTTTTTTTTTATAACATTCTCGCTGTGGTTGTGAGGATGTAATCCTGCAGTGTTACTGCTGTAATACCAGGCCTCACCCAGATATTATAGCTCATAGCAAACATGTATTCAGTAGCTTTTATATATGAGAGCCCCACTTACTGCATGCAATTTGGCACAGAGCATCTATAATTATCTGGGTACACTGTGATTAAACTTACACAGCTCAGGGTACTGAAAAGAAACGGGGAGGAAAGAGTAGAAATAAGTTAAAACAGCTGATCTAAGATGAAACGCTGCTGATTCAAGTCTGGCTGAGGACCTCTGATACATGTCATTTCCTTCTCTCAGCTATATTTCCTGTCACTTCTTTGCTCAGTTGAGAAAATAAGTTAGCACAGGATGCTTGTCCCATGCCAGCTTTCATGGGGACAGAGAAGCAAATGGAAAGTCCCTCTTTCATGTACACCCCTTGTGTCTGAGAGAGAGAGCACGATAAAGAGAGCGCTCACATGTGTGTGTCCGTCCTGCTGACTGAAGTTCTGAAAATAGGTCAGTGGTTCAAGACCCGACCAGAGGGGAATTAATGCACAAACACACACATACACAACGAGCAGCTGGGTTCACTTTGTGGCATCATGATTCAATGAGCTGTTTATGTAGACAGTGCCCGAGTATGCAAAGTCCATAACAAACATCTAGCCTGACAGACCACAGATACAATAAAATGTTCACTTTCTTGCGAGGCTTTGTTGAATTGTGTCGTTGTGTGCATCCGTCTCAGGGGATGTTACGGCGCTGCCTCGTGGGACCCCCCTGTACGGCCAGCCATCTTGGTGGGGGGATGGGGATGCAGACGATGAGAATTCCTTCAAACAAGAAACCAAGTCATCCACGAAAAAACATGACAGCTCCACTTCAGGTAGGCGGCTGGGAAATTTTGAGTGATTTTACGCTTTGAGCCGCCGTCAAACGTACACACTCTAGTTTCTATTAATAAAATATGCAGAACAGAAAGGGATGGACATTGTACATGTACAGTGACAGCATCATATACTGAAAACACAAATGCTAGGAGAAAGCCAGGTGACTTTCACATGGTACAGCGAACTTTAGCAGTTTTGAGTTTGTCTTGGTTTGTAAAAAAACTATTTTTGTGATTGTACTACACTATACATGCATAGGAATTACATATACATGCTTTGTATTTGAATATACATTATAGGTTTATGTATTTTGTCTCATTCGTAAAATGATTGTATGCAAAATTCAATTTCATTATAGAATTTGTGTTCTGCAGGGTAAGTACTGCATTTAACAGTTTTGCCCATATTTGCTGTAGGTTTAAAGCATTCTTTGTGTGTCTGTATCCAAACAAAGAAATAAATGAGAATGCTGTATTGTGTAGTGACTTAGAGTTATCAGCGTACACTAATACTGTAACCAAACAGTATGTCATTTGATAGCCCACAGATTAAATATGCTAGACTAAATTAAATCATGCAGGGCTGAGTATTTTATCTCGGAAGTGAAATGATAGCTTAATCGTCTTAATGCCCACTGGCTCTGTTGTTTATTTGCTTTCGCCTGCATTGAAGGGCTGTTGTCCAGCTCGACTTTGTGTTTGCGTGTGACAATGTACAGCCAAGTGCACACAAAGGGCTTTTTTTCAGAGCACTGCATGTATGTCTGTTTGCTTACAATATGCTAGTGACCATTGGATAGGAGGGATTCTGTTAACTGGTCGCGGGGTAGTCAGAGTAACAGGATTAGAGGCTACACCAATAGTGGAACAGCTGAGTGAGGACAAAAATCAGTCTGTACCAGGCTGGTTTGGTGCGCGCCAGTGTAGTCTGAAGGAGTGGGGGGAGGTTAACCATAAACAAACAGTGGAGCAGACTGAAGCGTCCTCAAATCTCTCACCACATCTGGATGGATAATCTGACAGCATCTTAAAAAGGAAGACTAATGTTTTTCAGCTCTTTTAACAATCGCCTCTCTCCGTGCCGCACCGTGCATATTCCTCCGGATTTTGGCAATTTTAGCGTTTTTTTCTGTTGGAGTGACATTTGAAAAGACTGTCAGTTTGGAGTAAAGCTGTGCAAGCGTGGAAGGGTGATTTGAAACCCTAAAAGCTTTTCAAAAAAAATCCAGCAAATGGGATTGGCTACTTCAGTCATGGAAGTGGGTGAGTGGAAGGTATTTTGCCCTCTTGCTGCATTGGCTTTTAAAAAGACTCTGAATGGATGCTGTGCCGTTGGATTTGTTTGGTGAAGCAGCATACTCCAGGGCTGTGTATTTATATAGGTAATACTGACCGCAGCATCAAATGAAGTACTTAGAAGTGTCCTTGTTTTTAAAATACTCTAATCTGTGTGTTCACATTAGATATAGCAATTAAGGGGAAGTGAAAGAGAAAGCGAGGTTTAGAACAATTCTGTTTTAGTGTGTTTTTTTTCTCCCTTTGTTGCATACATGTGTACGTCAGTTAAGTTTAGTGTGTGTCCTTTTTCTCTTTCCCACTGAATAGGCTATGTTGTCAGATCCCCCCCGCCCCCCTTCTTATGTATTGTCACTCAAGCCGATTGGGTTACTCCGTCGCACCAGCTCCCCCTTTTCCTCCCAACACACACACTCACACACACTCAGCGTCCAAACAGAGCACTCTCTCCCGCTACGCCGCAGCAATCATTAGCTAATTCTCTCGTAAGTATTGCTCTCAAATCCGTGTACTTTGGCTAATGGAGCTGGTAAAGGGCTTTTAATTTGAGTTAACGGCTTGTTAGCCTGGCATCCTCTTGCCTCGCACTTTGCTTTGTTACCAGCGGCTACTTTAAGAACTGTTTGGTCAGTTAACTCTCTTGAGCTCTCAAAGTGTTTAAATCTGAAATGAGAAGTCACTGCATGTTCGGTTGTTTTAAATCACACCTTGTAGCAGATGGTGTTTCATCATAATGTCAGTTTTCAACTTTGCATGTAGTGGAGTCTAATAGAAAAATGTTGGTTTTGCAAGTTTATGATATGCCAACATAAAAATCCTGCAGCACATTCAGCTCTAGTTTGAACTAAATGCCACTAATCTAATTCATGAAACTCTGCTTTGCAGAAATAACTACTGATGGTTGTTCCCAGATCAACCATGTGACTAATGGTGACTCTTCTGTGAGATAGAGGAAGTTTACTCAGTTTATCGTAATTTCAGAGAAGGATCTAATGGTCATACTTTAGTTTTTCTTTCTTTTTAGTCAATTTTAGAACTTTAAAAGCTCCCTGAGTTCACATAGAGAACGGACAGAAATTTGAGCATTGTAGTAACACTGTTTTATCAAAGCTATAACCTCTATTTTGTCTTGTTTGTGGGGTATTACTTTCTCAGTCAGGTCATTGGATCTTAAGGATCATTGAAAGATTTCGATGTCAAGTACCTCATATTTGCTCTGTGTTTAAATCCATGTTGTAAATCCTCCCCAAATTGCAGAACAGCTTATGCTGGCAACCACTGATCATTTTAAAGAGGCAGATGAAGGCGGTGAAGTGTAGTGGAAAATTAAGCTTTTAATTCAGAGATTTTGTTTTTGGGAAGATCCTGCTTTGTCTCCTAAATCCTGAGGCGGCACAGTGTTATTTTATAAATGTATTACTTGTGAAAAAAAATCCCTAAAGTTGTATTTTTTTTTTTAAACTTGTGATTACATTCTGCAAAGACAGTTTCTGTTTCTTGTTTCTTTTGCTCGATTGCCATATGTTACTACATTTGCTCCCGAACATGAAGCAGATGGCCCCTCTAATTCCTGAAAGTATCATTTATCATATTTAGATCCCACAGAGGCTCTGTTTGTTAATTTGAACAGAGGAGAAAATAAGTGCTCCATATTGCCAATGCCCCAAACCAGGTTTTAAAGGGCTGCACCAGCACTTTTTGTCATGAGTGACAGAGAGTGGATGGAAAAACAGACAGAATGTATATGTACATCCTCAAAGCATACACGCAAATTGAATTGGTTCATATGGGGTCTGGCGTGACCTTTCACTTTTATTGCTTTCACTTTCATTATTTTTGACAGTGAGTCCCAGTATTTATTTGTGATGCTGCAGAATTGGGATTTTATGTTATTAAACTAATAAATGTCTTTACTACCTCAAGATGTAGACAGAAGCTGTGACAGACTGTAACTGCATCGACTCCTGTTCTATATCAGTAAAGATGAACTGAACAAATCATTCTTAAGACTACTTAGAAGACTGCAACTGGTGATTATTTTCATTGTTGATTAACATCTTGATTATGTTCTTGAGTAATCATTTAGTTGTTGATCTATAAACTGTCAGAAAACGGCAAAACATGTCGATTAGTATTTTCCAAAGCCCAAAGTGTCAGCCTCAGCTGTCCTGATTTGTCCATGAGCCAAAGTTGTTTGACTTTATTGTCATAGAGGAATAAAAAATCAGTAAAAATAAAAATAAAAACAGGAAATATTTAAAGACAAATTAGATTTTTTTTCTTAAAAATTACTCAAAGCTATTAGACGATTATCAGAAAGAGATGGCAAGTAGTTTTATACTTAACAACTAATCAATTAATTTTTGCAGGCCTACTCTACACCTCATATTTACTTTTTAGTGGAATTTCTACTTTTGTTTAGTTATACTCTTCATACAGAAATTATTTTGTGTGACCTACTTCAACTTAAAACACTTCAAGGTTTCTTTGAGCTTGCAATCATCAAAATTTACATAATTAACCGTGGCAATGTCTTTTCACATTTTCCAAACTCAGAGAGCAAAGAGGCACGTCGAGGGGAGAAAGCGAAAGAAGACGGCCTTCATGCATCCGCTGGCCAGGATTCTAGTTACTTTGAGATTCCTACCAAGGAGGGTCACATGGCCAATAACGGCATCCACGAGATTCCAACCAAGGACACAGAGGGTTCAGCCGCTCACAGTCACATCGCTACAGGTGAAGTCAAGTATATGTATTTTAATTTGTTGTAAATGAACGTACATGTGTTCCATTTGTATATTTATTGGGAATGGAAAGTTATGGGGTCCAGTTATTTCAGCTCTTTGCAGTTCATAATATAAGCGGGGGTAGTAAATCATTACAGCATCAATTTGTGACATTGCTAGTGGACTGTATTTACTTTGCAACTTTTGAGTGCCATCAAATTGGCCTTTGTGAAAAGTCTTTTATGGCAACAAGAAACAAGGCCACTATTTGTCTTGTGCAAACAGAGGTTGATTCTCCAACAGAAGTCATCAGCTGATTGGTTATATTTGCATAAATATTCATGTAGTATATATTTTTGTAAATTGATTATAGCAAGCAATTGCATGTACACATACATTTTTTCCTTAGCTAGCAACCCTATATTTAGTACTGACTGACAGTGATAAAACTGCAATGTCTGCTCCACAGCTCAAGGTCACGCCTCCTTCACCATAGAGTTTGACAACACTTCTCCAGGGAAAGTCACCATTAAAGACCATGTGTCAAAGTTCACACCCGACCACCACAGATCTCGCTCCAAGAAGAGCGGGGCAGGAAGCGGCGGCACGGGAGGGAGGGACTTGAGCACGTTGCAAGCCGCCATGATGGCGTCTGAGAGCAAGGTGGCTGATTGGCTGGCCCAAAATGACCCGACTCTGGTGCGCAGCGAGTCGACAGAGGACGACAGCAAGAGCATCAAGAGCGACGTCCCGGTCCATCTCAAAAGACTGAAAGGTGGACGCTGTTTTCTCTTTACATTTCTATGTCTGTGTTGTTTGTTTTACCGGAATGGTTCCTTTTTTCTTGATTATTTTCTCCTTAAAGGATGCTTTTTATCCTTCTGCTATAATATTCTATTTCGAGATAGTTTGGATTTTTTGAGATATAGTTATTAGACTAGAGTAATAGTTCTACTACCAGCTCTTATATTATAATACATTACAAACTGGCTGCGCTTGTACAACAAATTTTGTGCACTTCTGCCATTATCGCATTAGAAAAACTAATTGAAAACAGCAGAATTTAAAAAAACAGAAACATTTGGATGCTCACTTGAAGTGGTTTTTGAGTTTTTTTAAAAGGAGTTAACATGCATTGTAGGAGATGGAAACACTGTTTCTTAACAAATTCTGACAGCGAATGTTTAACTCACATGACTGATCAGCTGTTTCCACTTCTTTTGCTGTGGTCGCCTGCAGACAGCATGAAACATGGCTGAGAAAAGCTGACATGGAAGAATAGTTATAACGTGCCAATTTGAAAACAATTGCTGAAGCCTGTTTCTGTATGTCTCTCATAGATAGCCAAAGTTTTTTCTTTTGGCTTCTTGGTGGTCTGATTATTAGAGCCATGTGTAACATAGAGTACACCACCACTTTGTGACGACACTACACAGCCTCGTTTATTGACTGCAAAACAGAAACAAGCCGAACTTGCTTTTTTTATGATTATTGTTTTTGCAACATTTCAAAAGTATGCTTGGCAATTCTATTGAGCAGCTACTATCTCAGTTTTTCATTTCTCTCTTTATTTTCTGTGAGCGCTGGGCTGATTCTTTGCTTGGACCAGAGGTTGCTGGCTGTGGGAACCACGGAGGGATATTAGCAACTGGAAGAAAGAAATATTTAAACCCCTGTCTATTCTGCTACTGTTCTGACAGCCAATGACAAGGCTTAGCATATCAGCATAGTACGACCCCCCTTGAATTTCACTTCTTCACCATTTACAGAAATATTTCCCAGTGACGACACCATACCTTATACATCATGGCAGTTAGCTTGCCTACAAGGGCTTTACAAGTGGCTTTTGGTTTGATTTCTTCTGTTGTATTGCCAATGTAGACATCTACAGTAAATTTTTCCCTGTTTACCTCTCTGCGCTAGTTGCTATGTATCCTTAGGGTAATGTTCGGGAATGCTATGACTGTAAATTTCATGCTTCTCTGCATGTCTTTGTTCTGATTACCTGCAAGCAGCCAACTGCTAAGTAGGCTTGTGCTGCCAGGGGGGTTTTGTGGGAATGGATCTGACAAAGCAAGGCTATGTACGGCCTTGTGATGCCGGTAAAGAGAGTTTAGTTTTGATGCTATGCAGGACTCCTGTACACTACATGCTGGTCGTGAGTCAATTAAATGGAGGCCAATTTATGATGTTGTTGACATGTTGGGGCGGGGACCAGAAGACAGGAGCTGATGAAAATGGAAATCTGTGAGGTAGAAGGGGAAGGCAGGGCAGCTAATTCATTAGATGGAGTTAGTACAACATGCATGTCAACTGGTTGACAGAATGGCTCACCTAATGGATGATTACGTGACTGATTGACTGGCTGACGTCTGGAGTGCTGGACACTGCGGTCTTTCAAACTAGAGACGGACTGAAGAGCAAGGCTGTGCTTGTGACATGAGTTAAAGGAAACCAAGAATAACTTAAGGGAATAAAAGGGGTCAAAGAAAGGGTGGAGTAAGGCGGGAGAGGACACAGAGGGGTAGCTGGACAGCTGGAAGGCAAGCTGTCTTTTAAAGCTGGCTGTGGACGCATGATGTGTGAAAACAGGTACGTTGAGGAGATGGATGAGAGGGTATGGAAGCTGGCAAAACTTCACTGTAGCGCTGACAGCAGTGTTTGCAGCAATAGCAGAAAAGGTGACAGGACAAAGGGAGGCAATGAGGAGAGAGAGTGAGAGAGGCTTGTTGTCTGGACTGCAGTAAAAGCAGAGAGGGAGGTGGCGAAGGAAGCAGTTTTTGGTAGATAGTTGTTATAGTAACAGAAATGCAAATGATGGCAAGGAGAGAGAGAATTCCGACGTGCATTTACAAAGAGCCGAAACTAGCCGTGAACATCTGTCTGTGTGTTTGAAGGCTGCAGGAGCATGTGTGAGAATAGCTTTTCAGTGCTGGTTCAGGGCGTGTGTGAAGCATGTGCTGCTCACTTGCTGGTTTGTGTGGCTGAAATTCGCCGTGTCTGTGTCTGCTGCATGTGCGCGCTGGAAACATGCTCGGCACTGATCTGCAGACAAGCAGTGCAGCATGTGTGAGCGGAGGCAAGTGAAATGTGCTAAGGGTGTGTCATAGAGGTGCTCGGCAGAGAGAGCGGCAGAGGTTGAACGAGCAAATTGAGAGGAGGCGACTGAGCTAAAGCTTTTGATTTGCAAGCATCAAGGTGAGTCTGTCTCTTCTTGCTGTAAGGAGTCGTGCACATGATACATCTTTATGCTGTCATTTATTTTGAATATGAGCTGCCATGTGAGCATCGCTGCAACATCTGAACAGTCTTGCGTTTTTTTGCAAGATGTGATTCTTATCAGTGTCAGCCTGACAATGTGTGATCTGAAGTGCTGTTTAGATGGCAAGGATAATGTAGTGACTTTGATGAGTTCTTCAAAATTGGCATTAATTTGCAGTCGTAGTAAAAGCTTTGCAGATATACATGGGTGGGAATTCTGTTGTGTGTCTTTTGCTGTATTGTAAGCTCACAATACAGTTCTTTGTAGGTTTGTGGTTGCATGTTTGCTGGTCTTTCTGTGCAAATGTGCACGCATGTAAAGTAAGTGCATCCTTGTGCCGGGTGCTCAGTTGTGTATGTGTGCACGTGTGCGTAGCCAGCGGCAGAGGCAGAGGCCAGCTCCACTGTGAGTCATGGTGGGGCGAGCGGGACGGAGCACTGGACTCTCACAGACACCTCTGTTCTCCTCTGGCCCTGCCAAGGGCTTCTTTGTCTGGGTCTCACAGCATGAAAGACCTGCCTCTCTCTGTCTGCTTATCTGCTGATCTGCTCAAGCTACTGTAATGTGCCGCTGCTTTCTTCTTTCATTCCCTTTATGCTTTCTTTTCTTTCTTTTTTAATGAAATGTATGCTTTATTAAATGTTGAACAGTGATGAAAGACAGGAAAGTTGGAGGAGGTGGATGGTGGAATGTGACAAATGAGCCGCAGACTCAGAAGTATGCCCGAGGCAATGGAGCCAATGTGATACCCCAACGTAGAGACAGTACTTAAAGGGGTACTTCAGCAATTTAATATTTTACTCCAATAAATGTAGAAGACTTCTGAGACAGTAGCATAGGCTGTGATATATTAATCTGGGACCCCCTTATGTTAGACAGTCTTTCTGTTATAAATACTTTTAAACTGTGAAATCAGGGTTATTTTCTCAGACTTAATAAAGCTGAAGGCTGCAGGAGCGTGTGTGAGAATTGCTTAACACAGCCACGGAAGACATTATACAACTGATTTTACAGGCTGAGTGGCACTACCAAGTAAACTGATCCTCATGAGTGTAGAGCTCCTTTAAATACGCAGACTCAGTGTGTGATATTGATATTGTGATAGACTGATATGCTCTCTTTGTCTGAATTGGGCTAGTGTCACACCTTGACAGTTCCTGTCATCATTTTCCCTATTTCTACTGTAATGCTCATAGCTTGACTATCAGTGCAGATTATAGTAAAGATAAATCTAGAAAGACAAAAGTAAAATTTTAGCAGAGCATCAGACTTATCCTGGGTCACGGTATGTGGATAGTTCCCCAGCCAAACTACTGTTCTCCACTCAGTCATAGGCCTCCAGCAAGTATGAAGTTTTTGTTAACAAATGATTGTCACATACAAAAAACTATTTATTGTCATTTTTTGTTCTGTTTTTTGTCTCTTGCAAATCTAACAAATTGCTTCCTCAAAGTTATTAGGCCCTCCCTTATCATCACAATCCAAATTAGTTTTATTGGAAAGTGAGAAGTTTTATTGGTGATTTGGTACGTTACAATAAACGCTGACAAGTAGAGAATTTTTAATGAGGGGATTTAAAGATTTAAAAAAAAAAAAACAAGTGTTGCAAATCAATAAGTGTTCCAAGACAAAGAAGGAGGAAAATAAGGAGCAAGTGTTACCGTGTTGGCTTGAATCCAAAATGACCCCTCAGCAGTGCTGTGGTGTTCGGCTTTGCAACTAAATCCATGGTGTTAGTGTCAGCAGATGCTTAAAGAAATGCAGTTGGTCAAATATTAAGATAAGCACATCAAGATAAAAGGTGCTGTTACACTATAGCTGCAGAGGAGGGTGCAACCAGTGGAAAACAGTGCAGGAATAGTGATTGAAATATGGCATTTCTGTGAGTGTCATCCTGCTGTTTTTATTCAGATGAATGGAAACTATTTGCAATGATTTCACGAAAATGATCGCAGTCAGCTCAAATAGTTGCTATGAGGCAGTTGTGAAATAGTTGTGACAGTCCTACTCAGCCATGGAAGCACTTTGTCCTCCTTTCTCATGGACGACTGTCCACTAGTATTGCTCAAGCACTGTGGCTTTAGTGAAACACCAACACTTGGCTAACAGGAACATTACGACATACAGACATTATTGATAAGTTAACTCCTGCTATCTAGGATGTTAAGCAGTTGACAGATGTGGAATGTAGATTGTAGAGCAGTGCTATAATGTAGACCAGTGAGAAAGTATCAGAAAAAATATACCCCAGTGCTCTGGTTTACACAAATGATTGTGAAGTGGAAATATTTTCTAATGGTCTCTTCCACCAACTGTCAAAGGCTGACAGTTAGCTAGTTAACTGCTTGGCTGTGTGAGTGACTGTCAACTCTAATTGCAGTATACTATATCCTGAGCCCTCTCCAGTCTCTGTTTCTTCTCTTTCCTCCCATTTAATCCAGTTTCTTCCCTTTCCCATCCTCCCTCCTCTTTCCCCCCCACATCCCCCAACCTCCTTCTCTTGTTCAGCCTCCCTTTTCTTTCCCTTTTCTCCTTTCACCTCCCCTTCTTCTCCATCCCTAAAACCTCCCCCCCTCTCCTCCACACACACACACACACACACACACACACACACACTCTCACATCCAGCCCTGCTTCTCCCTCACATGTTTTCCTCCTACCCTCCCCCTCGCCTCTCTCGCTGCCACTGAAGTAGGCAGGGTCAGTAGTCGTGTGGGTGGCATGTCTGGATTAGCGTGGCACACTGTCTGCCATCGTACAATACTGAGAGGACATGCTGATTCAACCCAGACTGATCAGAATGTAGGAACTGCTGTCATGTGGTAGGTAAAGCCAGCATTGTGAAGTTAGGGTCTGCTTAGCTGAAAGTTCCTGGTTGATTTCAGGTTATATTGGTTAGCAAATCAATCGCGGTTTTCCATAATGAATGTGCTTTCAGGTGGATGTGGTTCTGTGCTGAGGGCTATGTTTGTTTTCTTCATGTATGTGGTTGCTTAATAGACTTCTTCACATTGTTTTACTGCACAGTGCTGCTGAATTGCATCTCCATAGATATGCATCAGTTGTTGTCTGTTGCTATGAAACAGTTGTGTACATATGTTCTGACATGGCTTTAGCAAGCTAATCTACCATTCTGCAGGTCATTAGTAACTGTAGGTTACAAATCCAAATATTAGTCAATTTAAATACCTAAATTGTTTGACTTAGTGAATCCTGTTCCAGGTGGGCAAACATTTGATTATAAATTCTAAGTGTCAGATGTATTTATGCAGTGTGATGTGGAGTATATTATATTGTTATTGTTTAAATTTGAGCACAGTCGTGACCCTGTCGTGTTTCCTTTTTTGTGTCCCAATAGGCAGCAAACATGAGGACGGCACCCAGAGTGACTCAGAGAACGGGCTGGGTTTGCGTTTCGCCAACCGTCGCCATGCCCTCGAGGAACGCCTGAAAGCAGCGCACAGCCACGTGGGAGGCGGAGCGGGAGGAGCAGGAGGGGGCAACGTAACGGTGAGCGGGAGCAAAACAACTGGCACCCGGACGGCCTTCATGATCGAGTTCTACGACGAAGAAAACCCTCGCAAGCGCAGATCGTATTCGTTTTCCCAAACTGCACCCCTGCTGGGGGGAGTAGCTGGCGGGGAGGGACTGTGCCCTCAGCCTCCCTCTCACCCCAAAGTGTTTAGCATTTCCACCTCTGCCTCCACGGCCTCAGACTCAGGTAATAAAACCGTGATTTAATGTCTACTCTTTCTATGAGCAGCTTTGTGTGCATTTCCGAAAGTAAATGTTCAGTTTGGAATTATGCCCTTTGAAAATAATAGGATATGCTGAGTTAAGTTATTTAAGTAAAAGAATTCCTCAAAGGCACCATTCTCAAGAAAAATGCAGTGACTTCTGTAGCACAATCCTCTGAAAGCATGGTGTGTGTGTGTCTGTGTTCTTATAACAGCTGTATTTCTGCACTGTGTGTACTTACCAGGTAAAGTCCCAGCTCCAATACCAGCTACAGTGACTGCAGGTGCCCCTACAGCTGCCCGCGTGCTCCTCAAGCAGAGGTCAGAGGACCCGAGTATAGGTCGGAGCTCAGCCAGTACTGGTCTGGCGACGGGTAGCCCCACCAGCCCCAGTGAGGACACCTCGGTCCTGGGCAGAGGAGGGGGTACAGCTGGAGGAGAGGGAGAGGACGACCACAGTGACAAGGGGACCTACACTATTGAACTGGAGAACAGAAACCCAGAGGAAGAGGAGGCCCGGCGCATGATAGACAAGGTGAGAAGATAGACATATATGCATCATGTGGGAACGTTTCTGTCTTTTTACCTCAGCTTTCACAATACTTGACTACAGTTTTTCATTTCAGTGATATGAGATGCATTTGGGAACCTACTAAAAGATTTTCTTATACATTAGTCTTTGCTGTTTAGAAATATAAACAACTGAGAAACAGCGAGAGATCGTTTTTCATTTTGTGATTCAGAGGACACTTAATTGTGAATTCATGCCAGAAGCATCACAATTTGTGATTAAAACAGCAGTTTGCTGACCTTTCTAAACTCTGCTCTGCATAGTAAAGCATTGTCTTTGAATCTTTAAAATTCCCAGTGGATGTAAAAAGCCCAAAACACTTTACTGCTTTTATTTAACAGTTCCTGATAATTAGGCACAGATATAGTCGGTTATCATCCTAAAAACCACAAACACAGAGAATTTTTCTTTTTCTATTTTGTAACTTAATAACCAACATAAATCAAATCATTTGGAATCTTGGGTCCAGAGCAGTGCTGTGAAGGCGTTACAAAAATACATTTGAGTAATTTA